AGAACAGACAGAGCAAAGGAGCGAAGTGTTGCTGGGCCCCCAGGACACCCTCCAGCCAGCATCCACACCCATTCCCACGTCACCACCTTCTCAGCCCTCCCTAATTTCACTCTGTGTCCACCGTGTTTCCGTGGCTTGGTCTCATCCAGCTGTGGTGGGTTCTTCCCGCCTAACTTGTTACCGTGTCCCACTTACCTTCCTGTCAATCTCCATCTCCAACTAAAGTTTAAGAATCCAGCTCAAAACATTTCTACTCCAGAAGGCCTTACTGAATTAGTTCTGCCCAAATTTGGTCTCATATCTGTGACAAAAGGGACTTGTTAAGTATAAAAAAAGAACTTCAGCGCTTACCTAAATATAAACCACACACCAGTAGAATGTGAATTAATGAATAGTTCATAGCTAAACTGCATTTCTTCTTCCACTGAAAAGAATGGAAACATCGTCTGAAGTACGTGGGCAGAGAGGAGGGAAGGGTTTTCACACTTGTGGAGAATATGTACTTGGGCGGGTTCTTAGAAGTTGGCCTTTTCCATCAGGGACCTGATCTGCTGCTTTGTGCATCTGATCAGATTCCTAACAACTGCTTCCTGTCCTTTGGTAAAGATGCTTTTCTGTAATCAACTATAAACCCACCAATTATATTTTTTTTAAGATTTTTTTTCCTTTGATTCAATATATTGAGGGAGAAATGGGATACTTTTGAATGCTAACAAGATCAGTTTTAAGATGGCTTTGGGTTGGGTATTAAAGAGCCATCTGTTTCTGCAACTGCAACTCTGAGACAGGACTGTAATAAAATGGAATAGAGACATCATTTCTTCAAGCCATGAGGAAATGAGCCTGCTTCACAAGACTGGCTGTGCAGACCTTTCTAAGAATGACCCCGTTTGAGAGCCAGGAAATGAGACAGATTTTCTTCCACCCTGGCTAGCAGACTCCTTAAAAGAAAATGGCTCAAGAAAAACAAAATAACAAATATTTGCAACCTCAGCCATTAGCTGAATAGGTTTATCACATAATTGATTCTGAGTAACTGGATACAGATTACTCTGATAATGTCATTTTGACACCTAGATTCCTCAGAAGAATCACCATGGATTGATTTTACATGCATACATCTCCTAGAACCTGGGCCCAGTGGTTTGGGGAGATGTTTTTGTGTTTTGTGCTGTTGCCACTAGAATAGAAACTGCAAAAGCCAAGAATGTGGCCCGCTTCCTTTATCACTACATCCCCAGAGCCTGTAATGCTAATACCTAACAAAATGAATGCTTTTGTTGAATCAATCAAGTTAAAGTATGTTCTATCACAACAGGATGTCAAAGAATAAGAAACAAAAAGAAAAAGTTTCCTTAAACAGAAACAAGACACTACATGTAGGTGCCACCCAGGTTCTAGCCCCTGCTCCCCAATACAGGCTTGGATGGTGCAGGGAACACAAGGGCACTATCTCAACTTCAGAGCTCGCTCTGCCAACATCTACGGTGCACTGTGGAGCAGAGTAACAGACAGGACCAACCTGCCTCTCACCACCAAGGAGCTTACACCCAGTAGTTCCATCTATGTGCACTGTCTGCTTGCAAAGTTCAGTAGAGGTTATAGTTGTAGAATTCAGCATGATCCTACATAGGCTATTACTATTAAGCATAAATGTTTCAATTGATTATTCTCTAAACACTATGCTGGTTTTGTTCATTTGTTTGGATTTTTTTTTTCCTTGGTACTGGGGAATGAACCCAGGGGTGCTTTATCACTGAGTCACATCGCCAACCTTTTTTATTTTGAGACAGGGACTTGCCAAGTAGCTTAGGGCCTCACTAAGTCACTGAGGCTGGCCTCAAACTTGAAATACTCCTTCCTCAGCCTCTGAGTTGCTAGGATTATAGTCGTACCCCATCATGCCCAGCTATGTGGCTACTTTAACTAATTAAAATTTAATAAAACTGAAAATTAATTTGTGCAGTACTCCATACTTATATAACTAATGGCTTCCACACTGCACTCAAACAGACATAGAACATTTCCAACATCAAAGAAAGTCTGGTTTGGAAGTACCTCCTAGAGCCTCCTTGTGCTCAGTATGGCCTCGGAACAGCAGCCCAGACATCCCCCAGGGGACAGTTGGAAACACAGGCTCTGGCCACCACTCCACACTGTCTCTATCAACATCTGATGGTCTCTAACAAGAATCCCAGCTGACTCTCACACAATAAAGAATGAGAAGCACTGACCAGAAAACTACAATGCCGAGAAGTTGCTCTTACAACCTATAAATGGTTACTTTCTATTCTGAAAGATAAACCCAAGTTCCTACCTCTTAACTGAAAGGTCCAACTGTTCAGACAGACAACTAAAGGAAGTTCCAAGAAAACAATCTCTAATTCCTACCTAGAGAGAGGCTGAGGCACTCTGGTCTGAGTTTGCACTCTAATAAGCAAGTGCCTTGGGACCCTCTACAGAAGAGGAGGAGAAAGGCCTCTACCCTAAGGTGATTCCTGATTCTACAGCTCACCACCAATTAATTGCTCTCACCATGATAGTCAATGACTCACACTTACTCCAAAGGACCATAAAGTGCTAAATTGTAATTGTGAACTTGACCCTGGTATAAATCTGTACATTAGCATCTGGACAAGGTCTTTAAAAAATTACATCAGTGCTTAAAAGAAGAGAGCTGAGGGAAAGGTAAGGCTTTCCAGTTTTTAAAAACCAGAGTATTTTCCCAGAGTTTAAAATTCATGTTATTAGATACATTAAGTGCATCAGCAAATTCAGTCTGATGAGGTACTATCGAGAGTGCACTAAGAGACTATAATCTATTTTCTATGAGTTTCCATGATAGTTGATTTGATTTTTGATCCTTTATCAATAATGGCTAACCTAGCCACTAAAAAATCTGTGTTTTCATGTGTTTGTTCCTAATGTCCTGGGTGCTGTTACCTAACAAGTATCAGTAAACACCTTAAAACTTACCCTATCAGCTAAAAGAACTAGAGAAGTATAAATTCTTACATTATTTTAACACTGGAAATTTTACAGAAATGACTTAAAGGCACACTCCCCAGACCTGTCAAGAAGGAACTCAGTCCCAGAGATAGGAAAAAGAGGGACAATTTGACCCGGTGAGTCTGAAATGTCATTCATCAATAAAAGGAAGACAAACGCCCAATTTACAAAGTAAACACAAAAAGCAAGACTTGCAGGGTTAAAAGATCTCAAGTGCGTATCACCAATAAATAAGTAACTAAAACACTTAACTGTGAAAAAAAGATCAACAAACCGCTCCAGCAACACTGATTCATGGACCCCGTTTCCAATGCATTCGAAAAAACTGTATTAAAAACAGGTGAACACTCTAAACAGTTTTGCCCAGGAATAGAATATGTATTTGGTATGATAAAAATAACAGAAAATGAGTATGAGTAATGAGAATTTGCTACATGACTAATCTAAGTGCATTATATTTTGGGAGATACTCTTTACCCCTAATAAGCCACATTTTGAAGAAAGCTACAATACAAAGTTGAGGACGCTGCTAGCTAATGTCTGGACACTGACTAACTCTCTAAAAGCAGGCAAATTATTTTTTTAATGTACTCTGAAAGCCAGGAAAAGGCCTGCCAACCACTATGCAGGCTTTTACATGTGCACACGAACAGAGAACGTTCCAGTAATTGGACACTCTTCCCCGGTGATTAATAGTTACAGCTGTGCTTACCACCAACTAAATTTCACATACTAATGATTCAGAGCCCATTTCTTCTCACTCAGTTCCAATCCCTGGAGGAATGACAGTAGCTTACCATTCCAGCCAGTTTCGGAGGAAGCTCTGTAAACTAGGAAGCAACCCTACAAACAGCAATCAAAGGGTGGGATGAGCGAGGCATGAATAGCCACGAATTTTCAAGCCAAGTCCCTGCAACTGGGCTGAGAACCCTGACCCCAGGCGGAGAAGAAATGCTAGCCCAGGATCTGAACTTGGGCTTATCTTCAGATCACTGTTTTGTAAAGCTGCTATCCTTTTTTCAACCAGACAGAATTCCGGGGTTTTGTGTCTCCTCTACCTCTCATGATTTTTTGTTTTGTTTGTTTGATATCCATGCCTGCGCTTCTTCTGATAGAGCTGCTCCTGAGTTCATCCACTCTGTCCATCTTCTACTACTTCTTCCTGCTTAGGAATTCGTTCTTCTGAAAACCCCACTTTTAAAATTTCTCTCTTCACTGACACCTGGGGTTTTACTATATTTTTAAACATGAACAAAGTTGGCACTTTTCAATAACTCCATAGCCTCACTCACACCCGCAGGCTTTCCTGCTAAAGTTAATATAGCTGTGGTCCTAGTACTGCAGCTTGTTGTGTAGATAAAATATTTTGTGACATAGTTTACTACTTAAGAAATTAAAACTGAAGTTGCAAAATCCTATCTAGTTCTTTTAAAAATAGTGATCATGAGTGCCAGGCAGTGGAGTTGCTGGCAGGGGTGATCCACTAGGGCTGTGGGCTTCCCTGACTCCTCTCTCTCAAGATAGTTGTGGGGGAAGAGATGAACAAGCAGCCTCTCTTGGCCACCAGTTTCTAATAAGCCTCAGCTGAGCCACATTCACTATCAGTAGTTTTCATGCTCAATAAGAGACTCACAGTTCCACCCAGGATTCAGCCTATGAACCGACGAGAACAACTCCAAATATATCTGCAACGGCAAGTTCTACAGAAAGTTGAAAGTCAGTTTCCCTGAGAAATAAATCTGAAATTACCATAAAAGTGACACACAGGAAAGACACACTCCTGCATATAAACTGAGGCATTAAAGTAGGTGTTTATAAACTTCCGGCAGAGATCTGACCTCAGCATCAACTCAGCGTTTATAGAACATTACTGGTGCCACCACCCCATTCTCCTCCAGGCTGTTCACACACAGCCAGCCCCAAGCACGCAGCTGAAAAAAAAGTGTGGGTTCTTTAAGAGAAACTCCTCCCCTATCCCACCCAGCACCACAACATGATGTCGTTCTGACACTGCAGGGGTAGCCTGTTTTCCCTCTTTCTGCCTATATAATACATCACAAACAAGGAGCAGAAATAGGGCAACAGAATTCTGTGTTCCCAGAAACGCCGGAGAGGGAGGGTAAAAGGAAGTAAAATTACAGGTAAGGCTAAGATTCTGCTTTCTATTTAAAAATAAAAATGCAGGTAAATTCAATGCTCAGATTTGCTAAAATACACATGCCAGGGTGAAGCCAGGTGAAGCACTGGGCAAAGGCCTTTACAGGGCAGGTGGCATCTCTCTGGTGATTGCGGAATTGGACACGAGTTGGCGGGAGCATCCCTGAATTAATGCAGATGCTCTTCTCTAAGGCAGGATTCGGCAGAGCCCGGGCTTGGCCAGCCCCAGGAATCTCCTACCGGGACAGTCGGAAGACAAGACTAGCAAGCAAAAAGCAGTCAATAAAACAGAAGGAAAATGTCACAGCAGCATTTTACAAGAGATAGAGAGATAAAAAAAATATAGATATATTCGCCTGCACAGACCTACAAATAGAGGTTACTCACAGAGATTACTGTAGCTCCAGCAGTTACCCATTGATCATAGCAAATGCCCCGTTCATCAGTTTAACGCTTGAGAAAAGTTAGCTAGAAAAGAAGCAAGCTAACGCCAAATATGCTGTTCTAGTCAACTGGAAGCAAATTAGTTTCAAATTTCCTGGCAGCCCCTTTTTGCCCTGCTCTGCACACGGTGATGTCAATGGAAGCACTTTGAGCACTTGGAACCCGAGCCGAGAGGAGCTGCGCCTCGGTCCCTCTGACAAAGGCAAGGCAGCCTATTCTCTCGCTTGCTCTCCCTCTCTGCCTCTGTCTCTCTCTACCTTGGTAGCTTACCGAAAACAGCCACCGTAGGGCTTTTCTATAATTGTGAAAACTACTTCCAAGGAGATAACTGAGGTGCCGGGAGTTAGCTTTAATGTAACCATTTCCCTGGTGCAGCAGCAGGAAGCCCAGGAAGGCTCCGAGAGGATCGTACCATCCTCGGTGACATCAGAGGTGGGGCTGTCATCCTAGTATTATGCAGCATTTTCTCCGATGCAGGGATGACACACGTGAACGGAGACGGGTAGGTTCCCTTTAAAAGGGCTGAATTCTTGTATTATTTAAACAGAAAAGACAGATGCAAAGATCACTGCTCATAAGCTGCTGCAGAATGACATAAATCCTGCAGTTGCCGGTCCTCGTGTCTCTGCTAAATGCCACTGCCATCTAAAGTCAATTTTACTGATGATTACTGTTCCTGTGATAAAATTAATATTTAATGGGTAATTGATAGTACTTGGGAAAAGATTCAAAGTACTAGGAAAAGATTCAAAGACATTAACATCCATTTTTAAAAAAAAAAAAAAAAAAGATGGTATAAACTTTTACATGACTAACGGTACCCGTGGAAGTAGACAATACTTCTAGACCACAATCTCAGTACAAACAACAAATATAAAAACAAATGGTTACATAGATAAAAATGAGGCTGAAAGCAGCACAAGATGAGTGACATAATATCGCTCCTTGGTTCTGGTAACAGCTGTTGAAACAAACATGAAAAATAACTCGGCTTCTACAACTTCAATGTCCCACCCAGCACGAGACGCTCAGGCTGATAATCCAGCAATGCACGGTTATTTTCACTCATTCTGTACACATCTGCTAAGTGCCCAAGAGGTGCTTAGAAAATGTACTGGGTTTAATTTAGAGTGCCCATTCCTGATGAACAATAATCTAATCAGAGCAGAGAACGTTTGCTCATGTGCCAAGCACTGCACCAATCAGCTTTACCGTACAAACCCATCCGTTCCTACCAACAGCCCTGTGGGATAGCTACGATTACAAAACCATTATTAGGCAAGGTTACTAAAACATAAAAGAGGTGCATGACTTGTCCAAGTTCACGTGGCTCAAACTGGCACATTCAAACACAGGCATGAGAGCCCCCCAAATCCAGCTTCTCCACTACCAAACTGTACTGCCTCCCAAGGACTTCTCTGCCAAGAAAAGAATTCTCAAGAAGGAACATAATTTTCAGGATTTAAAACCACAGCATGCCAAATATATCCATGACTCAAGAAGAATGACCCAAATATAAAGGGATAAACAGAGTGCACCCAGAGAAAAGAGTACCAGGACAGTCAAAATAGAACCCAGGTAGCAAAGTTAGTGCTAAAGCCTTGTGTGACACTGCACCAACATCCTAGAATCTTTCGGCTTACTCTCCTTATCTCTGAGCAATAGATAATAGATGTTTACATTATGTTAGATCAGTATAACTATATGACTAAAGCACATGCTCTGGACATGTAATCTGGACTCCATCATTTTTCAATTATGTCATCTTAAACAGGTTACGTAACCTCTATAGTCCTCAATTTCCTCATCCAAAAACTAGGAAAAATAATGGGGCTATTCTGATTAAATAAATTAAAGCAAATAAACACATAAAGCACTCAGAGTAGCTACTAGTACAAAATTAAAGCTCAAATTTTATTATTTTTATTATTATTATTATAACTATAGCTATCATTACTTTCAGCATTATTACACTTTTTAACTAAAACTGGCGGCTTCTTCCTTTTTCAAAAACCTCGCCAAGAAGAGCTGCTATATTTTCAGAGTTGGCTGGAAAAGTAGAAAGGTCAACCTTTGTTGGCTTTATACAAATATTAACCAATCTACGAATTGCCAGTTCCCAAGGAGATAGAAACTGAGCGTGCCTTCTAAGAAAGGTCCTTTCTAGTGGGAGAGAGAGGCAGGCACTCTTGATCTCCTTCTTCCCTATGCCTAAACTACAGAGGGGGCGAGAGCTGAAGCAGCCATCCTGTACAGAGAGAAGCCCATCAGCCAGCAGAGACCTCCTACTCCCATTTCTTTTACAGTGGAGTGAAATAAACCTGTAGGTCAAGTGATTCATTCAAGTTTCCTAGTATATGCAACTTACATAATCCTAACCGATGAACATTTAAAGGCCACAATTTCCCTGTGGCTTCAAAAGGCTAACTTGAGGACAACGGGCTATTTTATTAGGGCTTTTCTACTGTTACATCCTCTGAGCCTGCATCCTCTCTGATGCCAAGTCAATGCCAATGGATAACCATGTGGGAAACAAGAAAAAGCAAAGCACACTGCTTCTCCAGGCCCCACATCTATATTGTCTTATTATAACAAACAGAACAACAGAGGTTCAGTGTGAAACGCTCCTCCTGCATCTCAAGCTCTTCCCATCTCTGGGTAGATGCATTCTTTCCAATCCACAAGCTATTGAGCTATTGTTAAAAGCAGGGGAAAGCAAAACTCCAACACATGATGAAGGAGATGCTTAACAAAGCTACTGCTGTTACAAAGGCTGTGTAAACATGACAGTCCCCTCACACAACTGCTGGTGACCACAGGAAGTAAATGCCTGTACTATGAGAAGTCTCTTTTCCATCCAGCAGTTCACAATAGCTTCCACTGTCCCGGACTCATCATTTCAAAAAGTAAAGCTCAACAAGTAGGTTTGTCCCATATGCCCTGGTCTTTCACAGACATGCTGCTATACAGGTGCACAGAAGCAGCACTTGGTTAACAAACAGAGCCACGTCCCTCACCTGTCTTGTTTGCACTGACTATATTCTCTTGCTTTCTGTATTCCTGGGGCTCTGGCATTTGTGTTTTCTCCAAAAAAAAAAAAAAAAAAAAAACTCCTTGTTATTCAAAATAAACAAAAGAGCACCTCTAAAACTTAAGAACTTGGACATGAGGCCATTTCCTTCTTTTTCTTAAAAAAAAAAAAATCTTTCAGGAAAACATTCTTAACTTTGTGATCTGTAAGGTATTCACTCCTTTTTGTGAAAAATAAAGAGATGGTTTAAGTAACCTGGCCAATACACAATTAGAAGATAAGGAGAGCAAGAAGTACCCTCAGACCACAGCTCAAAACAAGAGACAATTTAGTTGTCAGTGAATGTGTGAGTTTGCTGAAGAGCAGAGGGAACAAGGAAGCCACTATTTTACGTTAGACTGCAATACACTTTTTAATCCTAGTACAGTTTGAGCATTTAAAGGTTTTTTTTCCTTGTTGATTGTTTCTGTTAACTTATTTACAAACATATTTATTTCCTATTAATGTAAGCCATATTAACATACTTAATGACCACAATGTACCACTAGTAATGTAATTCAGTTCTTATTGAATACTCTAGTCATTTCAAATATTATCCTAAGTAAATTCATACACTGCTAACTGGCTAATTTATATTCATCAGCATGTAATCAAATGACAGCCCATGAAGTCAGTGACTTGTATCTGTTTTGAACATAGTTGTGTCCCTGTGTTACTGAGACCCCCAGGAAGCACAAATGTCAAACTGCAAGGTTGGGTTGAGATGGCATAAAATTCAGGTAGCCTGCAAGGGGAAGGAGACCTGCCATGATCCTTGAGAAACTGCTTTCCTCATGTCCTGGGCCTGGGACAGAATCAGAACCCAGGGCTGCTAGGATACCACTGGAGCAGAAAGCAAGCCGAGGTGCAGGCAAAGGGGCTTGATCTGCATGGTGGAGATCTTCATGTACCCAAAGGCAAAATGAGAGCGAGTTCTGGAAGCAACTGAATCTTCCAAAAAGTAGAAAAGTCAGTAAGCATCCAGATGACAAAGAAGAAACAGGAATTAGCCCAGAGTCCTGCAGACTAAATTTATCAAGTGGATTTCTGCTAGCCTTTGGTTAAACTGGGATCATGATTCTCTACTCTATAAACACTTATCTTGGCTGTTTCTTTTTATTTTCTCTCTTTCAGTAATTTAGATTCTCTTCAAAAACTCCAGTCCTGTCTCAACTCAGAGCACAAGGCCATGGGGCACCTCTCTGTAGAGTCCCTAGGTGCATCGGAGTGCTGGATGGCAGGGAGGGAGGCAGGACACAGCATGGAGCTGAGGTATGGAAGGCTGAAGAACTGCTCTCAAATCCGCTGCCTGCTGGCTCCGGGACAGGGCACTGCCTTGGCTGGGTTCCAGCTCTGCCGCCACTGGGTTTTGCTGCCTGACCTATGGGGCTTTTTCCCACCCCTCTCCTTCCAGGTGCAGTAACAAAAATTTGTTCTCAGCTTCTACTCTGCTCACTTTTTATTCTTTGCCTTATTTTTTTCTTTCCACATTTCTTTTTATTGGTGCATTACAATTGTACATAATGATGGGCTTTGTTGTTGCATATTCATACATTATTCTTTGCTTTTTACAAATCATGAGCTTAGAAAAACTATCGGCCCACAGACAAGCTGGTGGGTGGCTCAAGTACTCCAAATGAGAGCTTTAAACTCGCAAAGTGCCTAAGACAGTGCCCCCCCACACAAGAAACATTCATGAAGAACCAGCTGACATTCCCGCTGCTGCTGAACCAGCTTTGGCTCCACTACTTACCGTGTGATTGGCAGGCAACCACGCCTGGCTTTCCCAGCCTGTTGTGCTCACCGAAATAACACTTTACAATTAATTTCTCAGCGAAATACAAATAATTAGTAACTGTAGGCAAATAACACATTTACTTTAAGGTTGTTTGAAGATTAAAACTGACAGGTGTCACTGGAAACAGTACATGAAAACCACAAAATGACTTTCAAATGCAAGGCTCCAGGCTGATAATCACTCTACACTGATGACTTCAGGCATCACTCAGAGTGACTGCTGTCCCTGAGGATGACTTCAGATGACCTGACATCTCCCTGAAGCTTCGTCCTACTCCCCACTTCTTATGAGTGGAAAGAATACATCAGATGGGGACTACTATGTAGGAAAAGGGAAAGATGTCAACGATTGAGTCAATGCAGAAGCAACCATGTAAATCAGCAGACCAGACATCTAAGGCAGTGGTCCAGATGTGGACTGGGATAAGAACAGGGAGACAAACCCCTAGACAACCCCAGGTCAGTTGGGTTCTTTAAATTACAAGAGTGAACAAAGCCAAACACAAAAGAAATCCTACCCAAGGGGAGCTGAAGTTCTCACAGCTACACCTGCAACTGTCTTGGTGACGGGACCTTTACCTTATGACAATGACAACATAATAAGGACAAAATGCAAATTAAACTATAACTGGATGCAACTCACACCCAATGCAGTCAGCTCACCTTGTGGGAGGTCTCGGGAGGCGTCCAGAAGGGGCATGTGTGTCTTGTGTGATGGATGAAAGGAAAGAATCTGCACTTCACATGGAGAGTGAACTCAAGCCTGTGCGCTCAAGAGAGCTCTTGGTCCACATGGTCAGGTCGTGGCCAGTAGTAAGCCACACCGATATATACCCACAGGGTCTCGCCATGAAAGGCACCCCAGAAAGGAGGAAGCCTGGCCAAGGACAGATTCTTACTTTCCTGGGGTCCTGTGGGAGATCTGAGCTAGTAGGGCAGCCCATCTCTGAACTATGCCCCTGCTCCTACATCCCCTGGAATGTGGGGTCTGTGCAGAGAAGCAGAGTCAACACCTCCTGCCTGTATGGAAGCTGTTCCATGTCACATATTCAAGGTGCCAAACGATACTGATTGCCTCCCTGAAAACTCTGCTGCTGGTGAATTCCCGTTTCAGATGCATCGTTAACATCTCCTGTCACTTCACTGCCATCAGACATCATTTCCCCCCAGATCTGCAGTCACCAAGACAATCATCTTATTCTTAAAGTCCCATGCATCTTTGCACTCATACTCCTATTACCATCTTTTCTCCAGAGCACAGATATTGCTTTGGAATTAGCGGTCCTCACCAGTCTATCCTCCCCAACACTAATTCACACCCTCCAATCCCTTTGAAGCGATTTTGTTAGATTAATGCTCTAAAAATATATTTTTTTAAAGTGCTGGGAACTGAACCCACAACCACATGTGTGCAAAATACACACTCAACCATTATACCTCTTGCCCTAAAACTTTACTGCTGGAACTGCTGTCACCACTGTCTAATTATGTGGCCTCTTTTTCCCCAAAATAAAACCAAAATTTTAAACAGATTTCCAATGTAATTATATTAACGCTGTAATTCAGCTCAGGGGTCAGCAGCAAACGCTTTCTGTAAAGAAACAGATAATAAACAGTTTAAGCTTTGTGGACCACAAAATCTCTATACAAACACACAGCTCTGCCATTGTAGCAAAAACAGCCACTGACAATAGTAAACCAACCCAAGCTGCATTCCAACCAGAAGTCATCTACAAAGACAAGAGGAGCAGGATCTCGCCCAAGGCCTTAGCCGCCAACCCCCTGCTTCTGTCCCTCCAGGGAGTCCTTCAGCAATTGGCCACCAGCTCTCCTTACTCCCTTACTACTGTCTGGATGGCACTGTGCATTAAGCTTTTCTTTTGACATATAACAAAGCACACAGCACATAAAGTTAAGGACACCATGGGAAAGGTACCAGCTTTACCAATTAAAAAGCTATTATCAAACAGCTCTGGCTGGGGCTGGGAGTCAGGCTGAAGAATCCTTGCTATTCAACACTACCCAGGGCGGCCCTCCACCGGTCAACTCAGTGTCCCCTGTGAGTTACACAATCACCTCTGACCTCTGCTCAGTTACTCCCTCCTCCCCAACAGTGACCTCTTGCTCCCTTCCAGGCCTCACTCATGCTGTGACTCTCCTTCTCTTTTACTCACAAAACACAACAGCCTGCACTGTCCTTGGGGCCTTCATCTTACAAGATTTCATACTGTCTTTCCCGACTCACTTTCTATCGCATATTTCCCATCTTCCAGATAACTACCAGAGTGTTCTGAAGTTAAAAGGCATTATTTTTATTAGGAAGATCAATGTTAATATCCAAGACAATCCCTGGTTCACACTACAAGTTAAGAAATTGATTCAGATACATGATACATGAACATTATGTTCACAGATACATGAACATTAAACATTTTCACCACTCCCCATACTCTATCAGTGACGATGACGGCCAGTGGTCTGCTTACAGCAAATGGACCATTCTTCAAACTGCGATAAAGTATAAATCAATCACTTTCATGTATTCAGTATGAAACGTGTGTTGCAAAGCCTATTAGGAAAATATTTATTTAGTAATTAAACTACTTAGAAGAGGTTGTTTTTATATATTTATTTTTTAGTTGTAGTTGGACACAATACCTTTATTTTATTTACTTATTTTTATGTGGTGCTGAGGATCTAACCCAGGGCCTCGTGCCTGCTAGGTGAGCGCTACACCGCTGAGCCCCAGCCCCAGCCCATAAGAGGTTATTTTATAGTAAACACCTCGATAGTATGACTGATTTGTGGCAACAGTCATATTTGTAGAACTAGAGACACATAATCCTTAAACTGATTTTTTTGTTGTTACCCAGATCTCTGATAAGTAGTTCTCTGAGAAAGCTTTGAACCTTCTCCCCATTCACACACACATAGAGTCATAGATATTTCTACAAATTTTGCATACAATTTTCTGGAGGTTCACACTGCAAGTTAAGAAATTGCTTCAGAAGGCTTTATATTTGCTTTTCACAGCTCTGAACTGCCTAATGAATTTTAGTTCAAGGCACTCAAAGAAATTTCAATAAACTAAAGAATGTGGCAGTGGCAGTATTTTTCACATTTATTTATTTATTTATTCATTCTTTCCTTCGTTCGTTCATTTATTCATTCATTCCTGGATTGAACCCTGGGGCACTTAACTACCAGCCACATCCCCAACCCTTTTTTATATTTTATTTACAGACATGGTCTCAATGAGTTGCTTAGGGCCTTGCTGCTGAAGCTGGCTTTGAACTCTAGATCCTCCTGCCTCAGCCTCCTGAGCCACTGGGATGACAGGCATGCGCATGGCAGCAGGCATTTTATCTCATTTTTGTTTAGCATGTATTATTCATACACATGAAGAGGGTGGCTGTGGGGCTTCCACACGCGCATACAGCATGCAGTGATCAAATTCAATCTCCCTTTGTCACCTCCCCCCACTTGTTTTTAAGTTTCATACAACAAACTATTATGCCCAAATTAAAAGTAATCAAAGCTCCTGAATAATGAGAAAGGAGAAAATAACAGCTAAGAGTAAATGGATGAGGAAGAGTACCCATAGATGCAAGGATTTCAGCTTCCTATTAGTGCTTGCTAGAAAATTCTCCCAAGGGCTGAGAGACATGGCCAAGGGTGTGACAGGCAGAGGCGCAGGAGTTCTGCCCTCCAGTTGCTAAACCTCCAACCTGAGTAGTGGGGGTCTCCTACCCTACACAGCAACTCAGGCTGAGAAAAATCAACAGGAGCGCTAACTCTGAAATCTCTTTAAAACTCAAAATTAGGGGATGCAATCATAGAGTGAGCTGCTAAAATAAATGCCAACAGCGTAACAGGGCTTCAAATGCCGCAGCAGACAATCGATTAATAGTTGCTTGGATTTAAATTTCCCTTCACTTAACCTTTTTGAATAAGTCAAATTTATTAAATGCATTGATCAGTGGGATTTAATTTTTATACCTTTTGCACTCGGCGTGCAAGAATAAAAGCAAGATATCACAAAAAACTAACTTCCAAGTTTTCAAACTATAGGTAAAAATTGAAAAAATGTGGGTAAATCAAAGGACAAAGAATTAATGATGGTACAATCATCAACACACATCAAAAAAAATCAAATACCGGTTAGGCAAGGTAGCGTACACCTTTAATCCCAACAGCTGAGGCAGGAGGATCAGGAGGGAGTTCAAAGCCAGCCTCAGCAACCTGCAATGCCCTAAGCAATTCAGAGAGACACTGTCTCTAAATAAAATACAAAAAAGGGCTGGGGATGTGGCTCAGTGGTTGAGTAACTGTGGGTTCAATCTCCAGTACCCAAAAAATAAAAGTAAAAAAGTCAAATGCTAACCAAGATAACCAGATATAGTCTTGGTTACACTGAAAGAAAAATCCTATCAATGAATTAGTCCCCCGTCCTTAAGAAGGACAGGTTCTAAAAAACAGAGACAGACTCAGGTAAAAGGACAACCCCTAAAAATGGGTAATTGGACAAATTGAGAAAGATTACATTAAGCCTCTCAAGAATGTCCTTTAAATTGCCACTTTGGGATTGGATATTTAAAGTCTCTTATCTTAATTCACCTCTCCCCTGGGTCAGTACCCCACTGTCCCCCACATCTCAACGGCTTCTGGCCCAGCACCTCTCCCCAGGTCGCCACCCATTCAAACACCGCCTGCCCCTCCAGGTCAAGAACATCCCCTGGGGGGCTCTGCTCAGTGGCCCCCCCCAACTCTGTTCTGCTTCCGTGCTCCTCTCTGAAAGACGACCGCATTCTCCTGATTTCCCTGCTGACCCTGATCTCTAACAGTCTGTCTCCTTATAACAGCAAAAGTCTGTCTCTGCAGATCTTTAGCGTGGAATTAGTCATCCGTTCATGAGATTTGTACCAACCATTTGGCAGTAAATTACATATCATCTTCTATTTAATGGTTCCTGGCATGAATGTTGTCTTGCTTATAAATTTATTAGCTCTTTCTAAATAATGATTAGCAGTACTGGATACATAGCAAATAATAAATATTTTTAGAAATCAATTGAATATATTAAATCAGAGAAAATTATTTCCTTCCCTCCCCCTTTTTAAACTACCTAAATTATTAAAAAAAAAAAAAACAGAACTATACAAAACTCAGTTCCCAACAAATTCTGGGAAAACTGCCACCATAGGAAAAAGAAAAAAAAAAAAGAGTGTAGTCATTTTTCCTTTAAATAAAAGTTTCAAATAAGGTCTCAGTTTTCTACCCTTTTTAACTAACACTAACTCAAAGTTCACTATTACAGTTGTCCCAAGGACAACTAACAGCTCTGATTTCACGTACTTAACAATCCATTATCTGAAGGGCACACACACAAATCGCTTTTTCCTAGTGTAAGCAGGTTTTGCACTGAGCCACCCCTACTCATTTGCAGGGGAAAATAATTCTGTAAAATAATTTGCAAAGTTCCTAATGTACTGAAATTAAAGATCTCTAGTCCCTAAGATTTGACCTTGGCCTCCTTAACACCACTGTTTTATTAAATGAACCAACTCTCACTAGGGACTTCAATATAGGAAGAGCAGAGGAATACCAATCACAAATTTTAAAAAAAAAATGTTGGGGGAAGATGTAGATAATTCAGTGAATAACTAACACTGAGTGACCTATACTGAGTGTTGGTCTTGCTTCACTGTTCCTTTGTATTTTTCCAAGAAATCTGCCCTAATTCTGCAATGGTGAAAGTAAACAGAAATTGTCCTCATGTTTTGGCATTCATGTATTTTTTTTTCTTCTCTCATATTACTGACACTGTAACTCCTGTCTGCTGGAATGGAGGGGCTTTATCTTGAGATGCGGGAGGTTGCTCCACAAGGCACAAGTGGCAGGCTGGGGGATCCACCCTGGGAGATAAGAACTTAGGTGTGTTCCACATTCTGAGACACAGAGGACTGCCCCACCAAGTCTGCTTTCCTCCCTTAATGATTCTGACCCTGGCACTTAAACATCGCCAAAGAAAAGGAACACTAAATAATCCTTAAACCACACTTTCTTTCCTTTTTTAAAGGAAAAACTCAAGGAGCCACCTCATTGGGCCAATACCCATACAGAAAACATCAGCTGGAGGCCACCCAGCAAATCACAGAGTACAGACGTTTATTTATTTATTTATTTTTAGTAGGAAAATATATGCCTTCAAGTGGTGTCTGATCCAGAAGTCCAATAAGTAACGCAGATAAAGAAGGAGGGGGTTTTGGTTGAGTGGGGACACCACCATCTCCTCACTCCTTTTTTTCTTTTTCTCAAGAAGACACAAAAACCTGGGTTTAAAAATTCTTACAGGGAGGGGGGAAGCCAGAAAAGTTTAACAGTAAATTCAATGTCACATCACCAATTAAAAACAATGTCAGGACAGCCCACGTTCAAGGAGAGTCAGCTGAATGGCAGTGGGCTAGGGCACCCTGGATGGCCTCTCTGGAAGGAGCAGGATATGCTGCAAAGATAGCCTCTGGGGTCACAC